AATGCGGGAAAGACATTAGAATAATGGAAACCTCTAATGGCAGCAAACCGCCCGCATAAAGATATAAAAATGAGCAGATATTCAAAAATAGAAAGGGACATAAGGTAAGGATATGTCTTCTCACCGGACTTATCCAACCTATATTAGGCAATTCTGAGAGAACTGGAAAGTCTATCAGGATTTGTCATTGGCGGTTACAATCTTAACATAAGGTACGCAGATGACACAGTGCTGATAACAGAAACGGAAAAGAAACTACATAACCTCCTACAGAAGATAGAGAAGGAGAGTAATAAGAAGGTAATAAGCATAAACTACAAGAAGAGAGAATCTATGGTCATCAGTAAAAAGAGAAGCCGAAATGCGATTTACAGGTCGTGAACAGTAAAATCAAGCAGGTGCGGAAATTTAAATATCTGGGAAGTGTTCTGACAATGGACGTTAAGTGCGATGCTGAGATACGAAGACGTATTGGGATTGCCAAAGACACATTTCAACAGCTAGGCAGAGTATTACGAGGCAGGAGGGTTTCGTTGGTAACAAAGAAAACATTACTGAACTGCTACGTGATATATGTCTTCCTTTACGGCAGCGAATGTTAGACGGTCTTCTCAAAGATGAGTCTCAGATGAATGTTAAGGCCACCATGGACTGAACATGTAAGCAACGATGAGGTTTTGGAGACAATGCAAACAAAGAGGAAACTTGTACTTAACGTCATAAAGTTAAATTTCTAGGACACGTAATGAAAAAGGCTTGGAAAGTCTGATACTCACAGGGCGGATAGAGGAAAAGAGGGCGAAGGGAAAGCAAAGCGTGACATACATAACGGGCTTAAGAACAGTGTCTGGGAGAAATAACAAAAAGACAAAACTTATTGAGAGCTATAAGGGACTGGAAGAAATGGAGGGCCATGATCGCCTACGTCCTGAAGGGACACGGCACATAAAGAAGAAGCATATATTTCTTTCTTATCTGATCGTTCTCCCAATCCCACCAAATCTAAAACTCCTCCAGTCCTCCTCTTTACATGACGCCCGAAAACGATTGACCATAGTAGATTCGCTCTAAATGTAGCCTCATATGTGAGATATATGTTTTCTTAATTTTTGACATCTCTAACTTAAAATGCTTGTTATCTAGATGTTTTTTCCTCCCTCTTTGGATTTTCTAATTTTATCATTATTTTATTATTACTTTTCTTTTTTATTCTAATTATTTTATTATTATTACTTTCTTTCTTTCCTCCAAGTCTACTTGTCGCGATTGCACCTAAGTTGTACTTTTAATTATTGATTAATTAAAAAAAAAAAAAAAAAAACTTTGCCCACAGCTACATTTATTGTATCGGCAGTCATTTCGGTGACTGACAAATCTGTTAAAGAGTCTCTTTTCCGTAGATACTTTAAAATATGTGACCCCCCCAAATCTGTATTTTGACAAGAATAAATTAATTTTCCGCCCGATTTTAAGTTGATAGGAGTTATCGCAATTTATACTAAGTTAAAACTTAATAGTTATTACTGCTTCGACAGATTCCTAGTCTCTATAATAAAATACATATATTTGATGTCAATCCTACCGCACTTTTATGGTCTTAATTTTATCTTATTATCTTTCATTCTATTGTTATCCCTATTTGCTGATGTGCAACGTCTCTGCCTAAACTCTTTAATTTTATTTACTACTTATTTTTTATTTTATTCTAAAACAGATTCACCTTTCGTTCTTTTGAATAGGAGTAGAGGTTTATCCTTTTTTTGCTGATTAGGATTAGGTTTCTGGTTCTTTTTAGAGTCTTTTCATTCTCTTTCAATCCCTTGCAACTTAGTGGCTTTATTGCTTTGCTTTGGGGTGAATTGATAATATATATAGACAAATTCTAGTTTTATATCTTACATTAAGATTTGGGTTTCCGTTTGATCATTGAAGTTAAGCAGCGTGGAGTCTGGTCAGTATTTAAGTGGGAGGCCAGTTGGGAACATTCATAATGTAAACAACAACAGAGATCATATCATTAACGACATCGCCAGTGAATTACTACAGACTAATCGAATTTTATGTACACCAGAAATGTTCAAATTATCTTGACTGGTTTTTGTTATTAGATCAAGGGTGCTTGATGCTGAGAATTCACATAGTAATGCGTAAGTTAGGAATGACTATAAATGGGTAACATCGTGTTTTCGGGGGTTGAAGAGTAAAGCACTTCATCCGTCATGGCCGGTTTGGTGATTCCGATACTGTTTGTAAATTCATTGATAGTTTACTTCAAGGTGACACACAATAAGTTGTTACTTATTTCTTACGGTTGTAGAAGATGTTGTACTAAAGATGTACAGATATGTGGAGATATGTAAAGAGAATTCAACATATTATTTCCCAAAAAATGCTTATAACAATCACATCAACAAACGTCTGCATGACGTTTTTTGTGAGTACAAGGTATAAATTGGAAAGTTAAATTCTTTAAAATCAATGAAATAATATTAAAAATATTTTTATTTTCTAATAAAAAATTCAAAACATAAATCGCTTAATTTACGTGTAGTTTTAATTAATTTTTGGTTAGTTAAATTTAAAGTGAGATATTTTATTTTTTTATTAAAAGTTGTATTTTTCTTTGTTTTTCTGAGATGTATGAAATTTGAGGCGCCTAAGGAAATTAATTATGAAACACATTTGCCTATTATTACACAAAACGCTGCGCATATGTTGATTATTCTTAAGGATAAAACAAAAATATTCATTTGATAATTAAAACGTAATTTACTTTTGCTTTCATAAAAATAATTTGGGTCATTAAATATCTTCTTTCGATTTGATTAAAAATGTGGTTCATATGCGTTGTAATTGTTATCAAATGATTTCATATAAAAAGTAATCATTGCAACTAAGAAAAAGTGTACTTTATTTTCACATAAATTTCCCTGCCTGTATGTATAGTTAAATATATATATATAAATAATATGCAGAGGTCTTTATTGCCGATTGGTTATCAGTGCTACTTGCCATTCAGGAAATAATAGGGGAAAAAAGTTATATTTTATCAGTTTTTATCATTATTTCATAATTTCTCAATTTTCTATCTCACATGTTTTCTTTTCTTCTTACTTTGTTCACCATTTTAGCCCTTTTTACAGCCTTTATTTCCTTCATACATACCTTGTTTTTACTTTTAACTATTTGCATATTAAATTAGGCTTTCACTCATTAAACCTAGCCCTTCTTTTCCATTAAACAAGGCCTTCATTCATCTCTGATCTATTTTTTCATTAATCTTTTATACACATTTTTTTTTCACTTTATCGTTTTTGTATAACTTTTCTTCTCATAAGTTTTTCTTAATTTTATTTCACATTTTCTTCCGAGTATCAAAAATCCCAAGGAATGCTATTTTGTGCCATTGCATTATTCCGACTGTTTGTAAAGGTCAGAATTTTACTTGGTGGTGGTCAAACAAGGAAGATCTTGTTACGCTCAGTAGAAAAAAAAAAAAAAAATTGTGGCTTGCGATAAAACGAGTAAGGAGTCATGAAACCAAAAAAAAGGATCAAACAGATGAAATACGAAAAGATGGAGAACAACGTGATATATATTATATATATATATATATATATATATATATATATATATATATATATATATATATATATGTGTGTGTGTGTGTGTGTGTGTGTGTGTTTTGTGTGTGTGTGTAGGTAGATAGAAAGATGAAAGGTGATTGAAATAGAAGGAAGAGGGAGAGCTTGACAGAAGAATAAGAATAAAGCAAAGATGTATCTGAAAAAGCAGGGATTCGAACTGGTGTTGAATTCTGAGAGAGATCTAATGTATAAAGAAATGATAAAAAAATCAGCAGAATTATTCGCTGTTATGAATGTCCGTATTCATAAGAGAGACAGGTGGATGAACAAACAGGTATGTATGCTCAAATGTATATATACTCTGAGTACAAATACGTAGACAGATCGCTCAATTATACACACACACACACACACACACACACACACACACACACACACACACACACACACGTGTGTGGGGGTGGGGGTGGGGGTGGGTGTTTGTATGTGTGAGTGCGGCGAGAGAAAGAGAAAGAAAGAGAAGTGGAAACCATTAAAAAGAAAGTAAGTCATAGTGCTTTTGTAATGGCAACAAAAATATAAATAAGGGTGTGGCGAGAATAAGATTCCATGATGGTCAAAGATCAAGTGTAAAAGGAAACGAGAGGGAGGAAGAAAGAAAATCCTGTCAATGACGGAGTAGGAAATATAATAAATAAAATAAAAGAGGAACAAACAAAACCAGAAGGAAAAATAAAATAGATCAAACAGAATCGAGTGTGTCAGAAAAGAAAAAAAAACAAAGAAAAAAAAAAAACACTGGTGAAACAAGAAAATTGAAATTGAGAGAAAGGTTAGTCGTATACAATGAAATATCAGTTGGATTATTTCGTCTATTTACAATTTTGTACAGACAGAAAAAATGAAAGTCGAAATGCGCGAAGAATTAAGGAAGATCCGATAACAACAAGCACTTCTATCTTACTGATTGTTTTTCTTTCTATCCCATAGCTTGACATTTATCATATGAAATTACATCTGAAATGTTCATCGTATAATGTTCAATTCATGTGAGTAATGGACAAAAAAAGGATATTATTTTGAAAAGAATAGTTATTGTAGAAAATAAGTACATTCTTTATCATAAGGCTATGAACATATCTCCTGAAATACATTATTTTATGCATGGCTCATTTGGTTAAACTTCTGGGAATGAGACGGGCTGATAATTTTTCAGCATCCTCTCCTATATCTGCTGGGTAGAAGAAGAATGCTTGTCTGTGATATGGACTAACAGACAGTAAAAGCTAAATGATGCATAAAAGAAATAACGAATAAGAAAAACAGTATAAAAAGAAAAAAACAAATAGAAAGGAAAGTGAAAGAGAAAATATGCAATGAAATTGCTTAAAAGAATAAAAGAAAATCGAAAACTTCAAATCAGATAGTAAATGTTGCTTTAAAGAAAACGGCAAAAGATAGAAAACAAGTGAGGGGAAAGAAGAGAAGGAAATAACAGAGAAAGAAAAGGAAAGCGTAAAACTGACAGAAGGAAGAGTGTTTATGATTGCGAGAAGACAGGGAAAAATGAGGAAAAATACAAATGAAAAACCAGTGATACAGAGAAAGTGAGGGAGGGGAAAAGAGAAAAGAGAAAAAAAAGTAAGCAAAAATAACACGAAGGCGTGGAAAGATACAGAGAGTCTAAGAAGAAAAGAAAAGAAATACCTAAAAGAAAGGAATTGAAGTAGATAAAGGCCTAAGTCTGAAGAGGCAAAGTGTTTGTCTTGTCATCAATAGGCATACAGTGTCAGAACTGCAACTTGTTAGTAGCCAAGTCTCTCGAGTTAAGAATTTATTAGAGCAAATGATGCAAAGTGGAAATATTTGCACTATAGAAATTTTAAATCATTTTAAAACTAAAAGTTATGAGTGAATAGGAAGAGAAAACTAAACCAATATATTTTTTTCATAACTTACAGACATCGCATCACGTCGGACAACGACACACACACAAGAAGATGAAAATTTCTATTTTTCTTGATTTTGACAACAGGAATGTACGTTTACAACGAAATATCTTGTCTTTTACCTTAGTGTGAAATATCTAATGTGAAATAACTAATCTCTGTACGTAAAAATGTATAAAAATGAGTCGTGTGCGTGTGACAAATAATGAAATGAATCTTACTTAAACGGAACGGTTCATCAAAGTAGAGACTTGAGCAATTTTTACTCTTAGTGCCATGTATCCAACACACTTTAAACTCAGCCTTGTGAAACATTCAAGTGGATGTGTGAAGTGATATCTACTAAAACGGAACCGTCATGAAACATGATAGTAATAAACAAGTGATCACCATCTTAGAGGTAGCACTGTCAAAATACGTACTACAAACAAATTTAGTTGTTTATTTTTCATGTTATTCAAAATATTAAAGAAAAATTGAATAAAAAGTAAAATTTCTTCTTCATTTTGATGGTAGGAGCTGAGAGGGATCTAACGTTTCCAATTACCTCTTCTATACTTTCTATATTTTCAAGGCCCAAGCCAGATAATCATACGTATCCATAAGTTAGGAGACTTGTGATCAAGCCACGCTTTTCGGTAGATTACAGTACATTTGGTTCTAGAGTATATTTACATGTGCATACTTATCTATGCATATGTTTAATTATTAAGTATCAACGTCATTTCATGATGAAAGTGATTTGCGAAACAAGTTGGTTAAGTATAGTTCTATGGAAAGTGCTCATCTATTTTTTATCATATACCCATGTATGAGTAAGTACACTGTTACATTTTTATGCATATAGTGATGGATCAAAAAATCTGTAACCTAACACATATTATTCGCTGAATTTTGATATGAACTTTCAATGTATAATGTTCAAGATTCGAGTTAAATATTCACCAAGTGCATGGAAAAGAGGTTGAAAAATAAATATCTGTTGCATAAAATATGTTTTTTTTATTATTATTAATTAATACATTTATGAATAATTGATTATCAGGAACATCGCTATTGATATTTTATTCTCAATTTGTATTGAAATGCATATGAATAATGGTGTGTCATGAGGATGACTGAGTGAAGCACAAATAGCAAATCAGAAATGTAGCCACATCGACATAGAAAAGAAATACATTCTTTTTAAATAAACCAATGTTTTCAATGTGCGCTGAAGTAAATGGATATAAGCTAGTATATGAACTTTTACTAAGTATATGTACCATTTAAATTGTGTGTTTCTTTTCTTCTGATACAAATGTAAACCTGTATGTTGCTCGTACATAGGATTCTGATTCGATAGATTACAAATTACTATGCAAATATAAGATGCCACCAAAATAAAACCGTGTAAAGAAAAAAGAAAATACTTCTGAAATGTCTCCTTTATTGTCAGGAGATATCTATAAAGCATTGTTAACAAATACGGAACCACCTTCGATTGAACGATTTGTGTATCTGTGTGTACGACCACATGCGATTGTATCCTACCGAGTGCAGCTATATATGACGATGAATATCACCATAGAGTGCGCTTGTATTGTTGTAAGTGAGCACATGTGTTCGACTAAATTATCGCTTCCGTATTCAAGAATACATACACACTGGGAACTTTTGTAATTACACCCGTCAAGTTATACACTATACATCTTATACAAATATCGAAAATCAATTTACTGATGACCTTGTCTATAAGCTGTCTTTTCATCTATGTATATTTCTCTATGTACGAATGTGAAGGCTCCACTGGGTGGTTGAAAAAATTGCTTAGTTCCGACTGGAAAGATCTTTAAAACTACTTTTGAAGGGTAGGAGGCAGGGCCATTTGGACAATTGGCTCAATACGGTCTTTCTATCACATCTTGTGTCGAAAAACGCAGAAGTTAGTAAATATCTTTATAAAAATGCACATAGATTGATTTGAGATTGACTTCGTTGCGTAAGTGATTGGCGTAATACAATCTTTTTATCTTATATATATATATATATATATATATATATATATATATATATATATATATGTAAGAATGTAGATATTAGCAAGATGTTAATGCTATCATTGTGTAAAAAGTGTAAATAAATGTTCGTTGTCAGTTCGAAGCAAATTTCTATGAAAAGAACCTGATTAATAACTACTAATGTAATTCTATATAGTTCCGAACAAGTTGGGCACGTATGTGGTATCCTGACTAAGTTATCGTTTTATTTTTCCTGTTTGCTTTTATAGGTTTCGTGATTGAAGATACACATATATATACAGACAAAGTAAATGAGTAATATTTTATATTAATCTACAAATGAAAATGTTATTTTTAAATAAAATTTTAGAGATGTAAGTAGCATTTACATAATAACTGTGACTGGGAAGTACATTGAAAGAACAAGAAAGAATATTCAAGAAGAAAATGGTTACAAAGAACAAAAAAGGAATAATACACACGCTTTAAGAAATAAGGAAAGAAATAAAGAAAAATCCCAAGAAAGAAAAAAGAAAGACAGGAAAATAGAGAGAAAGTCCTAAAGAAAAAAGAAAACTTTAGAGACAAAATACTGGAAAGAAAGAAAAATACTAAACAGGGAGAATTATAGCCAGAAAGAAAACGTGAAAACACAGAGAGAGAGAGAGAGAGAGAGAGAGAGAGAGAGAGAGAGAGAGAGAGTGAGAGAGAGAGAACGAGAAAGAGAGAGAAGAGAGAGAGAGAGGAGAGAGAGAGAGAGAGAGAGATGAGAGAGAGAAAATGGAGAGAGAGAAGGAGAGAGAAGAGAGAGAGAGAGAGAGAGAGAGAGAGAGAGAGAGAGAGAGAGAGAGAGAGAAGAATACTAGACAGAATGAAAACATATTAGGAGTGGGAAAAATATATTGGAAACGATACTGGAAAAAATAGAAACTTAGGGAAATACAAGAGAAAAAATGATGGAGAAACAATGAAAAAACTGCTAGAATAAAAGCATAACAACAAAAAAAAAAGAAGAATAAACTACAAATAGAGAAAATGAATGAATTTGAAATTCATAGAGAGAAAAACAGCCAGAAAGAAAGCGTATTGGTAAAATGGAAAAGAAGAAGAGAATGGTTACTTATGAGAGACAGAGAGAGAGAGAGAGAGTGAGTGAGTGAGTGAGTGAGAGAGAGAGAGAGAGCGCATTAGAAAGAAAGAGAAAAATATTGTGAAAAAGGGGAAAATATTGTGAAAAAGGGGAAAATGCTCACAAGAAAGTGAAAATACAAAGAGGAAGAGTGAATAATGGCTAGAAAGAGAATCATTCTTGATATAAAGTATACTGGAAGGAAAAAACAGAATGATTACGGAAAAAGGAGAAAGAAATAATTAAAAAAGAGAGGAAAATGCTGATAAGAAATATGAAAAAAATATAAAAGAAAGAATGCTTAAAAATCTTGAAATATACAAAAATAATTGAAAGGGAGTAAAAACTCTAAAACAAAAGAGACAGCGATATGATTGCTTGAAAAAAAAGTAGGAATATTGATGGAGAAGAAAATAGCAGAAAAAAGGTTTTTTATGAGAAAGAAAGAAGAAAAAGATTATCGGAAAAATAGAAATAAAAAGAAAGAATTATCGGATAGAAAGAAAAACAATTCAAGATTCATGAGCAGATAAAAACAAATGAAAATACTCATAATATATGGAAATAAATGTTCCGGTGGCAAATGAAGGAGAGGAGTTAAAAGAAAGGAAGAAAGGAAAGCAGATAAACGAGTAGAATTTAAAAAAAGAGGGCGCGTAAAAATTGATAGAAGAGCAACGGAAAGAACGGTTGTTTGATTTTGCGACATGTCAAGTAGAGAAAGGATTACATTTATATGAAGTAAAGGGATTTGAGAATCTACGTGTGTTAGTATATATTTGCATATTTAGGCATAGATTAATGAGCATTTCCCAGATTGTATAGAGCCAATTTTACAGTGGAATGCACATCATAAAATCTGAACCCAGATATCTTAAGATTCGAACCCGTACTTCCTGCTGCATCAGCTTGAGAATCGTTATTTAATGCCCCAGGACGGTAATCTTACATCCATATTGAAACTTTTGGATGTTTGCTGTCGAGCAATAATTAACGAATTAACTTTGTCGATCATCAATCCTTATTAGGTATCATAAAATGCTAATCGTATTTAAACTTTAAAGGGCACTTGTTTAGTTTACTTTTTAAGGACATTAGTCGACAAGAAATGTGTTTATGAAGAGGAATTCACTTCAATTCTTTTTATGCGTTAATAGATGTATAAATGTATGTGTGTGTGTGACTGTATATTAAGTAATGTAAGCAAAAGGTACGTGCAGCAGCCATAAAAGGGATATCTTATGTATATGTGGATACGTGCACCTGCACGCACACATATTACAATAGAATCCAAAGAAATTAAATGTATATTTAAGTGTGCCAATAAATCGAAAATTGCTTTTCATAGTGACACAATTATGTATGGATTTATGCAAAAATGTCTAACGAAGGTGTATCATATATGAAAAGATTTATGTAAACGCAATTTCCTATTAAATTGATCAAAAGATTTTCTCTAAAGAATAACATTGACTATAGAATAAAATAAGACCCGATCATCCGCGAAATCGCCAACCAAATGTTTCTTTTTACGTGGTTGGCCTTATCAGCAAAGATTTCTTGTTTAAATTTTATGAAAGTAAAAGTACTTAGAAAATATAACCAAAAAGCCAGCCTTTAATAACCATAGTATATTGAAAAATACTTAAAAATATATATATATATTAAAATATGAGACCTGAGGTGCGGAAACTGAATTTAGTTAAAAAAATGTTTCCTTCATTGACTATATATATATATATATATATATATATATATATATATATATATATATATATATATATATATATATATATGTATGGTAATTGAGAAAATTACGTTCCTTCTATCATCCAATGGTTTTATTGAGTTTAAAGTTTCTGAACATGTCTGCTGTATATGCTTCGCTATTATCTGCAGATTTCACATCCACAGATAATGAAGTCCGACTTGATTCATTTTTATATTTACTTAAAACATTCGGGGACAGCCAGGATTTTGGCCGTGAAATGCTCTATCATTAAATCGAATCCCTACTGTTTTTATGGCAAAAAGGTTTGTTTTTTGAGTAACCCGTAACAAAGAAGCGCGAAAAGGAGAAAGTTAAGGATTATGAGAAAAGTCTTCTCGGCGGTATTTGCTAATGCAAACCGTAAATGTTCACAATCCCTCAATCACCAAATTGATGGAGACTCTAATTTGCTGAGTGATTTTACAAGTAAGTGACATTACAATTTCATTTAAACTGCAACATATATTCAGATTTGTGTGCGTGTGTGCATAAGGTGTATCGTCATTTACTTGCATGAATGGTTTATGTCAAATTTATTTATTTTATATGCGAAGTAAAAGTGGATGTTAAATGGTGATATTAACTACACAATAGTATATATGTGTGCACACACATAACTTTGTGAAACAATGGTAGAAATTGCGCATAGCTGCTGACAGCAGACAGTCTACAAACTTTTTCCCGCAAACTTCACGTTTGTGTATGTGTCGGCATGTGACATGGCATACATGAGCACATGCGCGCCGAAGCACACGTGTCTCGGGTTGCATGTGTGCAGTATTTAATGACGGATGACGTAGTTTATTTTGTGGATATTTAAAGCATTGATAGCATCGATGATTCTATAATATCCATACTGATTGCAACCTATATATTGTGAAAGAGAATGTAAATGAAAAGTAATGCTGTTTTCTGCATGTTTGTGTATTTAACTATAATTATAATTTGGCAATCTGGTGTCGATTCATGAAAGAAATGATGTTTTAATTTTCTCCGAGGAAGTTAAAAGCCATTATAAGCAACTGTAAATTTGCTTCTATTTCTAAATATAAGCCTTGTAAATTGTCGTACAGATAGTTACTGTTTCACGGATTTAAGTATGGATATTTATACATTTAAAACTAACAACCGAATAAGCAATGAAATAATTCTATTATTTTCTATTTCTACCAATAATTGGATTTTCATTAGTGACTGAACTCATTTGTACACTGCATTTGCGTGCATTTGCATTTCATTTGCATGCATCCACATATTTGAAAGCTACAATTGGCGGCAGGTTATTTACACAGAAAATTCATATTTACGACGGTGGATTAATAAGTACGTAATTAGTACCTGAATTTTGATCTGAAATTTTCACGTTATAATGTTCAATCTCTGATTAAGTTAATTAAGTGCATTAACGACTGAACATTACATTAAGTGCATTAACACTACATGAAATGCATTATATTGAAAAATAAAAAAAAAAGTTTTATAAAATACATTTTTCATCATTAGGTTACGGACTTATTGATACATTTGAATCTGCATTGTGCATGTCTTTCTAAGTGCATATGTGCTTATCATACAACATTGTGCATGTCTTTCTAAGTGCATATGTGCTTATCATACAACATCTATATGCACGCTGGTGTATTTGTTCGTTCGTTTTATATATAAAGCTGTTTTCGTGCACATTTCTTTCTTCAAACATTTCCGAACATATGAGGGACAATATACTATATTTTATTGATTTCACTTTGAAGATTGTATTAAATTCTTGTAATTAGTAATTAGAATTTCTATTGTATACTAGCATGCGCGTAGTTATATATGTATGAAAGTATAGATATTGACGGTTTCCAAATAAATTAAAATGAGGCCCAATAGGAAAGCATCGCTCATTGCCCAGTTCTATCTACCTGTGTGTATGTGTGTGCATGACAACTACTATATAACCATATACATATATTAAAATGTAGATTAAAATGTAGTATATATTGAATTAAATTACAGCAAATAAAATCTGGGACCGCTTTGCTTTTCGCATGATTAGCTTAATCACGCTTAATCGCAGTATATAATGTATGTTTTTATCTTTAGGTGAAACGATGTTTATACTTGGCGCCAGACTGAGAAATGTGCGTGCTACTGTATATAACCAATTCTTTAAAACTATTTTTGTGTACATGAATCAAAATTATATATAATAATTATATATAATTTTGCGTTAGTTTAGGTGTTAGTGTCTGAGCAGCCACAATTTACTTCTTTTTCTCGAATGATTAATAAAACATGAACATTTTCATAACCGGATGCATTATGAGTGCAGCGAAGGTGTGTCTGTTTACACGTGCCGGTGTCATTGTTGATAAATAAAATGAGCTATCAATTCAGAAGGACATTGTATCATTTACATGTCACAAAATTTGGCATCAATATTAATGTTAAATTAAGCTTTATGCCTTTTCTATAAGCAGCAACGAAAAACAAGTAATAGGAAGATTTGCATGTTATTACTTGTGTACTTTAGTTGCTAAAGTTACCCTAAATAAGTTTAATGGCAGACACCGCTCTTTCGCATGATGCTATATCATCTTCAAAAAAATCTGGTACTTGATAGGAATTAACTTTATCAATCATTTATTTTAATTTTTAATTAACTTTATCATCGTTTTAAATATATCAACATACTACGTGATATACCTATGCAGTGTGTGGTTGGGTGTCCAAGTATATATACTTGGACACCCAACCACACACTGCGCGCTCACCCACTATTATTTTAAAGGTTATCTAAACGGGTGTGTATACGTGTGTGATGAAATATATATACATCTTTGTGCATGTTGATGTCTACTGATATTGGATTTGTGTAGGCAAACATGCGTTTTTCTTTGACCTTGTGTGTAACGTAGATGTTTATAAATTTAATTCCGTAAGGATTTCGACATTTTTTAATACATTAGTTTTAAATGTTTGTTGCAAATTCATGTCAAATCATAAATTTAAAAGCAAACATTTATATATACTTATTACATATATGAAAGCTTTCTTGTAATGTCAATATAAATTCTAATTTCGTCTCAGCATATTCATTTAATGTTCAAGTGGACTTTTTTCTGCGATTATCTACAACTTTTCATATATTTATGAGTCCTGTTTCAGCTTCAGTATTATGAAGAGTTATTTGCCCGTGTTTGATATTAAATTTATTTTAACTTCGATCACGTTCAATATAACGAGTGAAACCTACTTGGCTTAATATGATTTACCTATTGAGTTATTCCTACAAGTGCGACTGAACTTTCGATTGTAAAAGCAAAAAAACTGAATTTCCACATATTTACTAGATACATGTGCTTCAGTAGACGTAATGTTTTTAAGAATTAAATTAATGTCTACCAAATCGAAATTTTTACTAAAGAAAAAATCTATTATTTGCTTAAAAATTACTTTACGTTCCGGGTACGGAAATATATCAGACACAGATTTCGAAAAGGTCCCAGCATAAGATGCGCATTTCTGAAATAAGGTGATTGAACTTTTCTTTGCTGCGATTACTACCCGTAGCTTTATGGTAAAGCGCATTTGACTTGAATGCGTTTTCATTGGTTAAAAAGGGGAATGCGGGTTCTTCGATTCTTTTCGGAAGGCACATCTACTTTAGTAAAAATTTCGATCTCTTTGCCAGTAGACATTTTAAAAAATGGTAAGTCTACTTAAAACTTTGTATCGACACAATATAATAAGAAATAATATCGAATTCTTCCTCTATGTGTCGTGTTCCTTCTGAATGTGGATGATCATGGCTCTCCACAGTTTTCTATCCTTTGTGGCCCTTAGCCTTATCCTTTGTTCTTCCCTTTGTCAAGCTCCCCCCCCCCATTCCGTTATCCATTCACACCTGACGAACTTGCTGATTTCCCCTAATCTCTTTTGCCCTCGATATG